AGAAGGATCGCCTGAGCCTAGCAGATTGAGACTGCGGTGGTCAGTGATCGTGAGGATGCCACTGCATTCCAGCCTGAGTGACAGAATGAGACTCCGACTCAGAAAGGGAAAAAAAAATCTGCTACCTCATACACATGCACTTAAAATGGAAATTTCTCATCAGATTCCATATCCTATGCAGAGTAGAGCTCAACACTAACCACACCTCTTCTTTTCTCCCGGCTGCTGTCTCAGCAACTTCCTCCACACCCAGCCCACCAAGATTTAAGTCCTCAGGGAGTGACACACCACACAGGGGAGTGCGGGTATAATTATTAAATAAAGGAACTTGACAATGCCATATATAATTGCAAACAAAGAAAACCAGATAATTATGACAGTCGTAGTGTTTGACCAAAGTTTTTTCTAAAATCAAGGGAAAAAACTAATCACTGAAACTTTTTTTGTTTTTTTTGAGTCGGGGTCTTACTCTGTCACCAGGCTGAAGTACAGTGGCATGATCACAGCTCACTGCAGTCTCAAACTTCTGGGCTCAGGGAATCCTCCCACTCAGCCTCCAGAACAGCCAGGGCTACAAGAACACGCTACCACATCCCGCTAACTTTTGAGTTTTTGTAGAGACATGTTTTGCTATGCTGCCCAGACTGGTCTTGAATTCCTGGGCTCAAAACAATCCTCCTGCCTTGGCCTCCCAAAGTGCTGGGATTACAGGCATTGAGCCATCACACCCAGCCTGAAACTCTTACCTCTTGTAACCAAAGTTCCTTCAAAATTTTAGGTAAACAGACTGTTTCAACCTTTGCTATACTAAGACTACTCGAGATTGGAAGAAAAAACACGAGAGTACATTGGAGCCATTTACATTCCCTTTCCCGCGTTTCCCTGAATTACCTACCCCAAATGGGGGCACCTAAGAGTTTGTTACAGTATGGAACCGAAATACGCCAAGGCCGTTTAAATGCTCTCGTTTCACCACGTCGCAGAAAATATTCTGAGTCAAAAACGAACGAGGACTATCGGCCAAGAAAACGGCTCTGAAGAACTTGGTCACCTTACCCCTCTCCAGTTTAGCCCGCGTACGTCCTTGGGCGAGCGGAGGCAGAGGGCAGGTCCTGCCTGATAAAGTGACACTTCCGAATAGGAACAGCTGAGATTGCTCTGCCGCATCCCAGACTCCTTCCGCCGGGAGCACGCGAACAGGGTTTTCCAAATGCTCTTCCCAAGGTCTCGAGGTCGGTTTCAAAACGCGGCTCCGCTCACAAGCCGCGAACCAGGCTCTCGCCCACCCCACCCCGCGAGCGGTGCACTTCCCGTTCGCTCCGGCGGGTCGAGAGCCCGCACTTGACAGCGACACACACCGAGAAAAGAGGAAGTGGCTGAAGACCATTGCAAGACCTTTTTTCTTTTCTTTTTCTTTCTTTCTTTTTTTTTTTTTTAAGGGAGATCAATGGCTCTGTCTTTCCGGAAAACTTCAATGGGACGTTGCCATCATACCCGCTGGAAAGTGTCAGCCTATGCCCAGGCTGCAGAGCCGAGGGCGACTCCTCTGGAAAAAGCACCTCTTTCTGAACTCTCGAAGTCGTCTTGCTATCCAAATCGATCCCCCCCCCCCCCCC